AGCTTCAAGCGGCTCAGTAGAGCTGCACTTCGGGTCACCTCATACCACCACAGGTACAATCCCGTGCACAATAACTAAGCATTTGTTCTTCAGCATAGAAAATAATGTCTAGGATTTCTTTAGCACTTTTTGTTCAAGATGCTTAAATTAAGCCCCATCGCTTCCCTCTGAGATAAGCTGCGGGTACTGGACTTCTTTTGAAGATGTATAAAATAACCAATTCTATATCATATAGTGGTCCTATAAGACAAAGATTCTGAGTTCCCTTGCTAAAGCTAACACAAAATTAACATGCTGAGATGTTTCTTTACCTGTTGACATAGGGGTGAAGATATTTTTTGGAATGACAACCCTGTCTTCTGAGTTTCGTGCCCAATCAACCATTCCTTTTCTTCCTTTCATGGGGAAATTGATGTCGGTTAAAACAGATGCAGCAGGAAGCTTCTGAATGCTAGCCACTAGCAAGAGAAATCACAAAATCAAATAAAATTGTGTTTCATACTCTAAAGCATCACACGATGGTAACAGTACAGCAATAACAAAAGTGTTTAATAATACATTTCAAGTAAAGCAGGAATTTATAGGACACTAACTGGCACAGAAAGTGTAATCTTCTGTTTATTATGCAGTTCTACTATGGATTAATTGTGTGGCATTGATCGTATCATTTGTCAGTCAGATTCTGATTAAGTCTCTTAACAGGGATTATTGAATGTACTGTCTTATACCCTGAAATTCACACAGAAGAACATCGTTGTGTCTTCAGAGCAAATTCTAAAATGATCAAATGTGACAATGAAAGGAAGAGGATGCTGCAAATTGCTTTGGGAAACATAACTGCTAGATGCAGGCTAATGAAGCAATCACAGAGCTTTTATCCCCTATACAGGCACAATTTCAAGATAGACCCATTATGGAGATTCACATATTAAAAGACCTCATTGTTTCCACACAAATGAGAATAATGCGGTATAGCACTTGATTTTTTTTTCCTTGAAAGAATAATCCCCATTCTGAATTCTTAATTATATTTTTTCCATCTAAAAAAACTCCAGACCCCCAAACAACATCACTATTATATCTGTAACAGTTACAGAAAGACAGAAGAAATAGGTATCAAATCTAATAATAGGCAGTTTGGAATTTTGTTTACTCATTCTCATTTTCTCTCTGTTTTCTAACTCAACTATTATCTGGAAATCAGTTTCAGCTTTGCTGTGAAATCTAAGTATGACTCCATGGCAACACTGTCAGTGTCTAGTAAGACTCAAAGTACTTTTAAGGAACTGACAGGGCTGCAAGAGTTTACGTACACTCAGAGAGATGACAAACACCACATTTGGAGCACTAGCTATGTTCTTAATGTAAGCCATGTTGATAGTCATTTCCTGTGCAATGGTCTTCCTAATCAATTTAAGAAGAGGCTAATGTAGTTGGAAGAGTTTGGACATCAGGACTATACTTTGATCTGCATAACAATTTCACTGCAAGGACTCTGCAAGGGGCTTAAATATAAAGACAATGGGGGACAGCTGTAAAAGCAACCAGAACAGCAAAATTACAGTAGAAAACCATTAGGTGTCTCATCAGTGGATTTTATTTCAAAGGAAACTGTAATTCAAATCCAAGAGAAGAGGAAAATTAAGAGGTTAACAATATTAACTCTGCAGACATATTCCTTGATAACTGACTCTTAGTTTCAAATTAGACTGGTTATGTATTATAAAATCACATTAGTGAGGTGGTATTTGAGGTTATTTCAGGCTTTCCATTATAAAACTATCATCAGGGCTTTACAATGCTAGTTAAAATCCCCTCTGGGCTGAAATTGGCAAGTACATTCCCAGCCCTAAAGGGATGTTTCGTCTTGTGAATTTTCAGGTGCTGTGTGGAGGGAGAAGAGTTCAGGTGTTTCAGAATTACTGGGGCATAAAATGGATTGCGTGTTTTCACATGCAATCAGTGGTCATGCAGGATATATTAACATTGTAAAAATTGATTTTTTCCATAGTTCTCAAAATCTAAAAAGAATTTTATTTTATTCTCTTCATAAATGAAATAAAACCCACAGTTATTTAGTTTTCTAAATTAAATACAACCTGTAAAAGACAATATTGTTTTTTTTTTTTATCTGCACGGTATTTATCGGTGTATCTACCTACCTATCTATCTATCTATCTAATTAGGTAGTAGAGCCTTAATATTTCATCCACCTTTTGGATGACAGTTCCCTTTATTGAAATAGGAAATCAATGTCATTCAATGGAATTCACTCTGCAAAACAGAAAACCACTTTAGGACTGGATAAATGGTGAGGGTCTAGGATAGTACCTCTCTGGACTCTCTCTATCTCTGTATTTTAAATAGGGCCATTCATCATGGTACCTAAATGCTACTTAGAATCAAAGATTCCAAAATATTTTTTTTTATATTTAGGTGAAGAATAACACAAAACCTAAACATAAAACCTAAACGTTTGACTTATGGCTTATATGCAATAAATATAAACATAGATTCCTATTCCTGGTTCAGACAAGTTTTTCTTCTACTCACAATCAAACAAGTCTATTGCTTAGCTATACACTGCAACACAGGAGAAAACCCCTTCTTTTTAGAATTCTTTGAGCATTCTGTTGATGCGCACTGGTATAAATTATAAGACAGTGGTTCAGTTACACATCAGAACACATACATATTTGATGACTCCATAATAATTATTGATTCAGAAAAATCTATTTAAGTAATCTAGTCTAATCAATTTAGTGATTGCTTTGACCCCTAATGGATTCATTTTAATATCCTTTAGAAATACATCTCTTTTTGCCTTTATTTCATTTTCATGCTGCAGTTGCAGACAACCTGTTCAATACTGTTTTACTTAAAATTTCAGAATTGGCAACTACTAACTGTTCTTACTTACCGAGTAAAATCAAATATCTTTGGAATTGATTAACTCCAAACTCATAGGAATGGAGAATTCTCCATGACTATTCAAATGAGCTGATTACATAGTAATATGTGAATGACATTTAAGCAGTTTATTTGGAGCAGCCCAAAAGTGGTTAATTAATGTGTCAAGAAAATTCTGAGTGAAATAAAAATTGTGTAGTTCTTCTATGCGAGCCCTTATAGATCATGGCCTAAAACAGAAAAGCTGAAATGTATTGCTATGATCCCTAGAACCCTGCATGAGTTGTAAGCTGCCTCGTGCAACTTCGAGTAGCTCTCTGACTGATCTAGGTTGTTAAATAGTAAAAGGTAAAGCAACCAAACAAGTGGCACGAATCATCTTCCCCTTCTCTTTAGTATCTACCCATTATCCTCGTGTTGAACAAGAATTGGGAAGATTTCAGAATCAGCTCCTTGAAAAATATTATCATTTTAGAACAGGAAATCAGATTCACTGAAAGCCATGACAGAAAAATGACTGGATGTTTGCTCAGGGACTAAATACAACTTCAGCTCTCATAGTAGAAATTTAGGTTTTAAAATTACAACACAAGCTGAATTAAATAGTTGATCCCTATCCTTATCAAAGACTGAACCAAAAACTTTACAGAAGATGCTCAAAGTCTGAGTCTGAATTCTGTAGCATTCATGTACTTACAAAAGAGGATACAACACTGATTGTGATTCTCTTTTCTTGTAAGTGATAACATTCTGGGTTTGTTGTGCTTTGCAGCACAGTAACTATGTTGTTCCCTAATTTACAATCACTTAAGATACAGAGGAATGGGAATTAATTGTTTTAAAAGGCATCAGTGCCTTGAGTGAATTGGAAAACCAGATACAGAAATCTATGGGATTAGCATAAAGTGTCAACTCCTCCTTAACCCTCTCTGTCAAAGCAAGAAAGTAGAACTCTGAATTTGACTGAATTTCAGTCACAGACAACAGAGAATGGCTATGCATATTAGCAGCATCATTTGCTCTTTTCTTGTCCTATTTTGACTTGTCCATTGACAGCATGCTAGACATATATTATTCAGCATTTAGGAAACTTGAGTTCCTCACACAACAGGTTTTGATTTTTCAGACAGAGAATATTATACTGCCCTTCTGGGACAGCTACTGCTAAATTTATTTTTGGGTAAAATAGTCATGAACAGAACTGCCATTGTCACAATTGTTCAGAATAAAAAATATGAAAGGACTTTTGTGTTAAAATTCAGAATACTGAATATTTCTGCAAACATCTCTGTTAAGAAGACCCAAATAGAATCATATTTATACACTTTAGTATCATTCTGTTGATACTAAATGTAAAAACTTTGGGTTTTTATAGAATAGATAAGCTTATTTAAGTCAGCTTATGTTGGATACATGGGGAACAAAGTCTTGCCTGGCTCATCATCAAAGAGCCAGATGGACATATTAAAGATGATATTCATAATAGATTTGCTCTATCCATTTAAACCCCATCATTTTAAAGACAATCTGCAACAAACAAACAGTGAAACCCCCTTTTCCAGGAGACCAATTTGTGGATCTCCAGATTTGCTACAGAACTCTGCATCTGAGAAGGCTTGACAATCTCCTTTAAAATCCTTCTCTCAGTACAAAGATAAATCCACCTCTTACCACCCACAAGACTATGTATAACAGAAGGACTGTGATGAAGTGACATCCTCTTATATGAACACAAGAAGAGCAACCAGGTAATTTTCCCCTCTGCCAATAATATTCATGAAATATCCCCGCAGTGAACCATCATCAAACAATGGTCAGAAAAACGCTCCTAAGAAATTATAATTTAACAGACTTAGTGTTCCTTACGACTGTCAACACAGAAGTGATGTCTTCTTAAATTAGAGCCTTGTTATGCCCTACTGCTCCATGGGCAGGCAAGAGAGGGATGTCCCTAGAGGCCTGCTGTGCATTTGCATCCCTGAAGCTCATCAGCCCATAGCAGCTGCCCTCTGACTATTCCAGCTTTGGGCAGCAAGACATGCTACTGACATAGGCAGAAGCAGAAGCAGACATTTCATATATATTTTCAGTAATCAGGCATGAGTTCTGCATGAGTCCTTCCTTTGGTGTCAAGCAAACTGTGCCTTAAATGGGCTGGTTGTTTGAAGGTTAAGTATAATCCTCTACATTAATCAAGAAGCTGCCTTAACAGTGATCTCTGAATATTTCCCTTCTCTATTCCACAGACAATGGAATGGGGAAGAGAGGTACCTGTTACCCTTCTTATTGTAAAATAATACATTTATCAGGGTGATAAGCACCTTAGAGAATTAATGAACTCATTTCTATCTTGAGCTTGCAAGCCACTCCAGTCCTTTAAACAATATGAAGAATAAGTAAACACATGAAAACCATCACATAACTGTATGATATCTGAATATGCTCCCAAAAGCCTGTAACAAATGCCAGCAATACACTACCATAGCAATAATATGACCAGTGCAATATTTAGGATGAGTTAGAAAGCAGCATGGCTTCAGGCAATGAT